GAGTGCTTGGCAACTGAATTGTGAGAGGTTCATTGCTGGATCTGTAGATTTGGGGAGTCCCAGATTCCATGTGCTCTCCGCATCAAGCAGCTTTTCAAATGGCTTCATCTTGCACTTACATTTCCTTTCTCGTCCAAACACAAAGTCTGGAGCTGTTGCCCAAAGGATTGGAAGCTATTTAGTTCCCACTGCTACTACATTTCCACTGATGCAGCATCTTGGAGTAAGAGTGAGGAGAAGTGCTCCAGAATGGGTGCTCATCTGATGGTGATCCACAGCCAGGAGGAGCAGGTGCATCCTGGGAGAGAGTGGGGCCTGGGCCTGGCCTGCTGTCTGCCTCTTTTTACTAAGAGGGAGTTTTGTTGACATGGGTGTTGCTGATGTGGCAGAAGGCTTTCCATCAGGAAGGTGGAAAGGTTGCTTCAGCCTTGGCATTCTACCCCTTGTCCCTGCTTCAGTGAAGCTGAACAACCCACAAGGAACCATGGTAACAGAAATGCAACATCTGAGGGTGGAGGGAAGGATGAAATGTTTCTGCTTGAAAGAGCAGTTTGTAATTTCAGCACTCTAATGCTTCCTGTAGTACCCACTGCCTAACAGAGGAGGGCACAGAGCTGACCAGGGAAAGGGGATCCAATCAGGAGAGTCACAGCCAACAATAAGAAATGAAATATCTGAGGTTATGAATGGAGAATGTTTAAATCTGCCAAATTCTCTCATGCACAACTTTCAGGAATGGTGTTGGGGAAGAAAAGATGGAGTGAATCTGAGATGAGAATTCATATTATCATGGACAGAGATTATTTCCAATGTCATGGGAAAAAGGCCTCTGAGTGATGACTTTGTGTCCTGGTCAGCCAGAGAAGATGGCACCCCTGGGGGTGGGGGTGGCTCTTCTATTCCTTGATCATTTCTTTGTCTTCTCATCTCTGTGTGACCAGAAAAAAGTCAGTCAAAGTATCACAGAGTACCTCTAAAAAGGATAATTATTGTGTATTAATCTATAATTTCAGAAATGTTTAAGGGCCTAGTGAGAGGAATAGGATTTGATTATTACATATTTGGATATGTGCATCATATTGGACCTATAATTTTTTATGGTTAAAATAATTTTTAAAAGATTTTATACAAATTCTATAACAGAAAAAGAAACACTCCAACCAGTTTGAATGCTGTATCTCTCTTTCCTCCCAGGATTTTATCACCAAGATCCTGGATCCTAAAGCTGCTTATTATATTGGCCTTTCGGATCCAGGTCACCGACAGTGGCGATGGGTTGATCAGACACCATACAATGAAAGTGCCACGTGAGTCCAGAGTTACCTAGAGGAGTCCTGGGTCCTGTAGCCTGAGAAGACTTTAGGGTGTTTCAGCTGTTGGTTATGAAACTAAAACAGCTCATTCCTGGTGTGAGTGCTGGGGATGGAGTTACTTTATCCCCATTTCCTCATCAAGGAGGCCTGTGAGACACATGTCACTGACACTCCAGGAGAGATGAGGAAACTGAGTTTGAAGAGTGTAGCATGATAAGTACCCAGGGCACCCAACCAAAGTACTACACCATGGTGGGTTTTATTATGCTTTCAGTCTCTCCCTATATTAAACAATAGGATTTAATTTATTTTTATTAGTGTGTATATCTATATCTTTCTGTGTGTCATATATATGTGGGTGCCCATGAAGCCTGTAAGTGGGTGTTGGTTTCTCTGCAGCTAAGGTCACAGTTGGTATGACTGCGTCAATATGGGTGTTGGAATCAGAAATGTCATGTTTTCTGAAAAAGCAGTGAGCACTCTTATATGTGGGCCATCTCTCTAGATTTTATTTATATGTATAAAAAAAATTAATGTCAAGATCATAACTGATTATTTCTCTTAAATCAAAAGCCCTCAATCTCATAATTTTATGTGTCATATTTATGTAATTATTTTAAAACTCTAATATCTTAGTATGTTCCCATATTCTATCCTGACTTCTGTTGTGAGAAATAGGTAGTAATGTTATTATTATTCTTAGTTTTCAGAGAATAAAAGTAGGAATCCTGGGAAGTAAATTACTTGCCCTAGATTACAGAAATAAGTAGATAATCTAACTATTTTAAGTATTTCTCCAGTCTCTAAAATAAGACTACTGTAAAATGAAAAAAAAAATATTACAGCATGAGAATGAGAGACCTTTTCAACATATAAATAAGCACATGGAATGAAAGTCGCCGGGTACCAAGACCTAGGGATGAAGTAGCCCCTGGGATGTGTTCTGGGAGAACAGTTGAATAACAAGCTAGAGAATATTGAGTGCAGCAGCCCTGTTTCCAGGGACACGTCAGACATCGGTGGTGGAGAACGGTTGATTTGTACACACCTGAATCTGCTTTCCACAAATTCCCACCACATCCTCTTCTTGCTTACTCTTGTTTTCTCTTTCCCAGCATCACTTTGGGAAACACCCTGATGCTCTTTCCTCTCTTCCAGGTTCTGGCACCCGGGTGAGCCCAGCAGTGACAAAGAACAATGTATTATAATAAATCATCGAGATTCTGTTTGGGGCTGGAATGACGCCCTTTGTGGTGGTGAACAGAAGTTAGTTTGTCAGATGAAGAAAATATCCTTATGAATCAATCATTCTTCATGAACATGGGATTGCATTTTTATCAACCATTACACGGACACTTGGAAAGATCTTCTTGAGAAGAGATGTCCATAGAAATTTAGGTAGGCAGCCAAAAGTTTTACATATGATAATACTGGTTCACATATATAGTTATACTTATTTATTCATCCTTTACTCTTTATATAATGAGAATTTCCCATATGCCAGAGACTCTACAGGATCTCTTTGTGCATATGTAGAAGCACTCCAGCTTCTCTGTCCATTCTTAGATTCCTAAACTCTTATTTGATTATAGAATTGTATGGTGTGTTCCCTCTACCCATCTGTCTCTCTCTTTGTTCCTCGGTCTTTGGATTTATTCATGTACAATTGACAAATAAATCATGTATATTGACATTACATTGTCTTGACCTGATATGGAAGTGTATTATTCAATGGCTACCACAACACCCTCTATTACCTAACATGGTTGTCTGTTTTCTGTATGTGTGGTGTTAGAGAATTTAGATCTTCTTTAGCAAATTCAAACAGACAGAGTGACATTGTTATCATTGACACCTTGAAACTGTAACTGCTTCCTCAATTTTCTCTGGCAGTTTGTGTCCTTCCATCAGCATTTTCTCATGTCCCCCAATACCTGCACTACCAGGACCTGTTCAGGATCTTGGTCCTCATGACTAGTGCGTCAGGTGCTGTGGGTGCCGTGAGGCTGATGTGGGCCTCTAATGGTGGCTGATCCTGGACTGGGTGACCTTCCTCAACAGCAAGTCTAAGAAAATGATAGCTAACCTTCTACTAGTACTGCCTGTTATTCTTGGTGTCCCACCTTGTGCCTGTCACATTAGGGACAGCCTCTGCCCTCCGGATGGACATTGAGGAGAGCCACATGTCCCATGGAAGCCTGCATGGTGCTTAACACTTTGGAAGCCTTTTCAACTTCTTATCATGAATATTTTGAAACAGAAGTTGACTGGCTGGTATCATCAATACTCATATAATTACCATTTATAGTAATGATTGTTGACATTTTGATAATTTGATATGTATATATATATATATTTATGAATGAATATATGCACATGATATTTGATAGGTCACTTGATATCTAGTTTGATACATAACCCTTCAGTCAATATTTCAATATATATCATCTTAAATTGTCATTGCACAACAAAACAATACCACTATCACTCTTAGAAAATTTAACAACTCTTTTCTCAGATGATGTGTGATCTTGCCTGTATTTCCTCAGCCATCCCCAAAATGTTTCTTATGGCTGTTCTAGTAAGCCATAGTCAAAAACATTTCATTTACTAATTAAATGATTCTACAATTTCAGGTCATGCCTCCACAGTTGTCCTCATTTCAGAGTCGAGCTTAAAGTTCAGGCGTTCCCAAGGATGCCATTAGTTCAAGTCATCTGTCTGCAGAGTCCTAGGATCCCATGATACCTGCTGATTTATGAGCTACTAGGATGACACACTGGACTAATGATTCTGTTCTACTAGGATTATAGTTTTGTTATGTGGAAAGCTACAAAGCAGAACTAAAGGGAGAGACATTCCAGGTGAGGTCAGGGAGCGTTCCATAAAGGAAACTTCCATTGACCCCCATGGATGCATCTCCTTCCCAGAATGTTAATGCGTCCCAGTATACAGCATAAGCCAACTAGGGGGCACTCATCTGAGCTCTGATGTTCAGAGATTTATCAGGGTTCATTACATAGGTGTGAGTGTTTGATTGATAAAAGAGTGAACTCAGTCTTCAGCATCACTTCCTGCCAGGGTGGGCATCTCAAGGCTCAAAGGCTCAACTCTTTAATCACAATGTCAGTGTTTCTGAAATAGTAAGCTCCCTACATGAATTGTCTTGTTAGCATGAACTATGAAAGAACTGAGCAGCATAAAGCTTCATGGCCTACCATGAAAAAACAGACTTCCAAATAGCTCCAGGAATTCCAAACAATTAGAGAGGTAACCTCCAGTGAAATGGGTAAAAGTCTAGACAAAGTCTTTCTTCAACTGGTCAGATATAAAATAATATGAATGCAGATGTTGGTGAACAGGAGAATGTGCACCATCACTGTCCCAGGAATAACCACAGTGCTTAATGACAGACTCAATGGTGTACATGACAGACACTCAACACTAAGCCATATGACACTAGTTTACTTCAATATCAGATATTAGTAAAGCACAAGGTTGAGTATTTTACTTATTTCATGTACATGAGTATTATATCTGCGTGTATGACTTTATGCCAGAAGATTGCATCAGATCCCACTAGTGATGGTCATGAGCCATCATATGGTTGCTGAGAATTGAACTCAGGGACCTTTGGATGAGCAGCCAGTGTTCTTAATCACTGAGACATCTCTCCAACAAGTTTTAGTATTTCATGCTTGTGTTGCAATAGTACCTCTTTTCTGTGGATGGGACGAATGGTCCTTTTGAAACCCAATAACGTACATCTCCTGAGTAAACAGGAAAGGAATTAGGTGTAGATGCTATGCTGTTCCCAGTGCTTTCCTCCTCCTCTGTAAAAGGACCATCTCAATGCCTTTGACCCATCTTCCTTCATATAGAGTATGCTTTCAACTCCAATTGGCTGGTTTGTCCAGGTGACTTTCACTGGCCCATAAAATGAGAATGAATCTGATTCTCTAAATACAAGAGGATACTACACATTATTTACAAGAAGTTACTATTCTCTATGATCCTTGCTCCCAAATGATAAATGTGGTAAGAAACTGAACAGAATTACAATGACCCATAGGCCACTTAGGACTTAGGACACACTTAAGATATATGCAAATGAAAAACACTTGTTGTTGTAAGCCACTTGAGTATTGTGCATGACTTATTGAGGTGTATGTGAGAGATGATAACTATAAAAAACATTTTGCTGAGAGGGTAAAACCTGTGAGCATCTGTGATTGGAGTGAAGTGGTGTGTAGGCATATTTATCACTATGGAAATACTCAATAGGTTCAATAATCATACAGGACTTCATATTCTGTCATATTTGTTTCCTTCCTTGAAGCACCTCAGCTACTTAGTAACTTACTGAATAAAGAATGGTGTAGGGAGGGCAAGGCAGGTGTCTGTGGAAGGGTCAGCTGTGGGGCAGCAATGGTCTGGTCCAGGGTCTGGGTGACCATGCCGAGGGCTGAACTGACAGCAGAACTGGAGCCCAAGCAGTGAGGGGAATGTGAGCATGCTGGTGAGAAAGTGTCTGGATTCAGGAGAGAGTCTCCAAGCAGCAGTCTGCTGTGAGACCTCAGAGCCTGAGAGGTGAGGAGGGCAGCTATGCTATGGAATGGTTACTTGTAGGGAGTCTGTGCTCCAGCATGGTGAGGAGAGTATGAACTCATTAGGTCACTTCCTGTGGGGAGTCAGAACTGTAAGTAGGAGATAAGACGGTCCTGATGGAGTTAACTGGGTGTTCAGAAGGGTGAGGAGGGCACCTGTGTAGAGTGAGGAAGCACGTGTGCGTAGTGTTGGCTCCATAGTGTGCTGACATTGAGAGCCTCATGATGTTGATCGGAGCTTCCTTGCATACGGTAGACCAGGCATGGGCTGTGGAGTGTGTGTGTGTGTGGGGGGGGAGTGTTTGTGTGTGTGTGTTCATGCATGTGCTGTTTGATTGTTTTGTGTATGAACATAGGAGTAGCTAGAGGAGATTTCAAGAAGGGAAGTGTTTGGAAGAGCTGAAGGTTGAGCATGGGGTATGAGCGGGAAAACGACTGCTGGAGGAACCCAAATGATCTCATTTTTTTAGTAACTAGTGTTCCTCTGCTATATTGTGATCAATTAATTCTCCCAACTGTTCCCAACAGTTCTGTGAACTCACAAGGCTCCTGCTCAGCAGTACAGGGATCAAGGGAAGAGAGGCATGAGGAGAGAGACAGCCTCCTCCGACAGCTGCTAACCAGAGCTGTGTCAGGATGTGGCCAGTGGCCCAGTGAGTGGAGAGTAACCATGAGTGAGTTATGAAGACAGTGGGAAGCAGAGAGCTCAGAGGAGCAGCTTCAGAATAAACAGGATGTGAGCTTTGCCTCCCCCCTGCAGGAGGCAGCTGAGTGGGAAGTGGGAGTCCACACAATGGTGAGGGGCAGATGGTCCTCTAGAATGTGGTGTCAGAACTTGCCTGTGAATTCAGTTAATGACCCAGTGTGTGCTCTTGTGGTCTGGTTTGCCTAAAACCATATTTGCATGTGGAACTTTATGCTTGCACATAGTGCAGAGAGCTGGGATCTCAGGGCAGACTTCTCTAATGGCCTAGTTCCTCTTTCCCACTCCTTCCAGTAAACTTGTTGATTTTGCATCAAAACATGCAATCTTTAAAAAGATTTATTTATTTATTTATTTATTTATCCATTTATTCATTCATTTATTTATGTGTACAGTGTTCTGCCTGCAGGCCAGAAGAAGGCACCAGATCTCATTACAGATGGTTGTGAGCCACCATGTGTTTCTTGGGACTTGAACTCAGGACCTGTGGAAGATCAGTTAGTGCTCTTAATCTCTGAGCCATCTCTCCAAACCCACAGCATGCTATTTTATTTCCTAAAAGCACTAGGCTTTAGACAATACCCTTTACTCAAGCATTTAGTAGATACATAAAAGATGGTAGGGTGCCCTGGTTTCTAGAGATGTCTCACTACTTTTCACTCACCCAGGAGCTTCTGTGCATCAGATGGAATTACCCATGAAATACATCCTTTACAATGTTACCTCCACCTCTAAACTTATATTCTGATTCTCAGTACACAGTCTGGGTGATGCAACATCTAGAAATCGCATGGTTCACTTCATCAGGCCCTCCATTCATGATTTATTACAATTAGTTCAACAGGTATGCAGATAAGGAAAAAGTCCTGTTTATTTAGTCCCTATTAGGCCACAGTCCAATTTTCCAGGCCCTGTGTCTGAAGATAATGTGTGGCAGGGAACTGGACCTCATGCTGCACACTCAGGGCAGCTCTCTGTGAAGTGCTTCTCATCACCCAGCTCATAGCAAGACAATTTGCTGTTTCTTGTTTAGAGAAATATTTTCATATTGTGTATTTCTGTTCTTTTCTTTAAAAAATTTATTCTTTTCTCATACAATATATCCTGACCATAGCTTCCCCTCCCTCCACTCCTCCCAGGTCTCCTGCTACCTCCCTCTCCCTCCAGATCCATTGCTCCTCTGTTTCCTCTCAGAAAAGAGCAAGCCTATCAGGAACATCAATTAAACTCAGCATAACAGATACAATAAAACTAATACAAATCCTCATATCAGGGCTCGATGAGGCAACCTACTAGGAAGAAAAGTGTCCTAAGAGCAGGTAAAAGAGACAGAGACACCCCATGCCCTCTGTTAGGAGTCCCACAACAACCCCAAGCTAAACAACC